AATTCTGGGAGTTGAAATCCACTCATCTTAAAGTGGCCAAGTTTGGACAACACTGACTTAACTGAATGGGGTACAGATGGTAAAATCTGTATGAAATCTCCACCACACAAAACTTCTTTTTGGCCAACCCTGTGCCCAAACAGAGCTAGGTAATCCTGTGGATCTTCCTCCAACCCATCCTATGCATTTTTACAGGTACAGGTGTGGCAGTAGCCCCCTGATTTTCTGTCTTAGACTCCTTCTCCTGATTCCTCTGTCTCTCCTGGCTTTCATGTTCTCTCTGTTTATTTGGACAGGTTATAAGCTTCCGGGGAGTAGGCCTATGCCTGTCACTCCAAAACTAACATCTGATGGTTTATCTTGAAATCCACCAATATCCCAAATGTCACCCTCCTTTTATCATGAACTTCTGGAAATTCTACAGCTATCCAGACTCTCTTTTGCAGCTTAGTAAGATGGACAGATAGAGAACCAGTTTGGTGCAGTGGTTAAGGCATCAGGCTAGAAACTGGGAGACTGTGAGTCCTAGTCCCGCTTAGGCACAAAGCCAGCTGGGTGACCTTGGGCCAGTCACTCTCTCTCAGCACTAGGAAGAAGAGAAGGACAACTCACTTCTGAAAAACTGTGCCAAGAAAACCGCAGGGACTTGTCAGGCAGTCTCCGAGAATTGGACACGATTGAATGGATTAAAAAAAAGAAAGATGTACAGACAAACAAACAAAAGGAAGGAAGTTTTCTAAGTAGAAACTGCCCGGAGTCACTGGGAGTCGGGCAGCAAATACATTTAAATTATTATTTATTATTGTTATTAAGCAGCAGTATAATGGAGAAACAGGATCTGAATATCAACCATCAACCTTAAAGGTCCAGACTTTCTAAGGGTTTGAATCACAGTGGATCAGCCTTGCCTTTGGCTGACCCCTAACTTGCAGTCAATACATCTTGTCTCGTACATGTGCCTCCAGAGCTCACATGACTGACTTGATTATATAAACTATTGAGAAGGAGGAAGAGATATTTAAGCTCCACACTGATTAATCATGCAACTGGATAATGCTAAGTTGTGCAGGGGAAAACATGATTCTTAGATTTTTCTAAACAATAATCTAAAGAGACAGTCTCATGACCCTTTAACATTTAATAGTAAAAAATAGAGAGGTGTATCAGAAAAAAATCCTATATTCTGGGGATTCAGAGAGCAACACAGTTGACCTAAAAGACTGACTAAAATGTAATACTGCTTAAGAAAAGTATATTGACCATGTTAATCTAGGATTGCCAGCTAGCCAGAATGAAGCGTTGGTTAGCTCTTGTGCCATGACAACCCTAGGTTAAACAGCAAGCATATTGATAGTGAATGCTGAACAACTTATATTAATTTTGTCATTATCTGCATCAGGAGAGGAGTACATAATTGTTCTTCTCAAGTCATAATCATATTAGAGAAACATTTAACATTTCTACATTTTAAATGTCTTAAATATGAAAAAGTAACTTGGATCGTTGCCTCTTTGAGAGTGGGGGAATAACTGCCTGCCTCAAATGAGTCAGAAAGGACCCTTTCTGAAAGGACCATCTGAAAGGACAGTATCTCAGTTTTCGACAACTTTCACCCAATCTTCAGCGCTTGTTTTCTCGGAAGGTTTTGGAAAAGGTGATTTCAGCTACAGAAAACTCTAGAAGAAATGGATTATTTGAACCATTTTTATTCTGGATTCAGATCTGGGCAGAAACCGCTTTGGTCTCCCTGACTGATGGCCTATGCTGGGACCTGGCTATGGGGAGTGCAACCTTCAGATCCCCATTTTGTGTGAAGTTACATGGGTGAGGGCCTGGAGGCTCCCCTTCTGGGGGTTACATTATAGAAAGCTTTCCCCCTAAGGTAAGGGGAGCCTCAATTTGGTTTGTGTTTTGCAAAACCAGTAAAATCTATCCTATTTTGATGTATTTGGGATGGATGATGGATCTGAATTGCCTTTGTGATTTCTTACTGCATTTGTACTTTTGGCTTCTGTACATCTCCTTGAATCACAAAAAGTTGTGGCAGTATAGAAATGTTTCAAGAAGACCTGGGCTTACACTGTGATAATGCTTCCTGGGTGATTTTGGAACAGTCACTGCCTCTCAGCCATTCCTATCCATAGGTTTATTTTAAAAATAAAGGAGGCAAGGGAAGCAGAACCATCTATGAGCCTCTTGGAGGATGAGTAGGGTAACAATGAACAATAAATACATTTTTATGAATGTATAATCTGTCCCAGCACTTTCAAAGTTCAGGATCAAGCTTCTTGTGATCAAGAGTGAAAAAAACCAACCCTTCCCTAGAACATTCACCCTTCTTTGTTCTGTTGAGTTTTTATTAATTACTGTATATGCCTGGCTGTTTCTCTTCCTTGTGCTCACTCTATAAACAACATGAAAGTAGGGGGAAGGAGCAGGGTGTCACCTTGGGCTGAACTGACCAACCACACCACTGATGGGGAAACATGACCAATTAGGAAATTCACCATCATGTTGTTCTCAAGGACACACAGGAATAAACAGGCTGACTTTGATTTGCCCCAAGTAAGGCCTACAGCTGAGTTGACAACTTTTTGAGATTGACAAGATAGAAAGGACAAGGGGGTATAGGAGAATCCTCCACACTGTATGACCACATCTACCTCCACCTCGTGGAAAATAAAATCTGACCCAGCTGTCTTCAAGGCAAGTCTACCTGTAGCACTATAAATGAGGAGGACATTTGAGATTTAATCTGCATATATTAAAAGTTGCCAGCATTTGTTTGAGAGAGTTCATGCATCTTTAAGAAGCACTTGAGAAGGGAAACAATTATTGTCCACTCCAGAAACTTTACAGGTATAGGGCATTTCCTGCTCTCTCCAATCTGATGCAACAGGAAGACAAAAGGATCTGAACTTCTGTGGTCTTGGAGCCTCTCATCTAAATGTCAAAGCTCAGAGTAGTGCTGGCTATCAGGGGTGTCTTGCATGGTTGTGGCTGCCATCTTGACCCCCCTGTAGGCAACTATGCCCCCCAAATTTTCTAATGTAAAAACTGGCTGACCTGAGAATGTGCCTAAGAAAATACAGGTTTAAAGCAGAGAGCAAATCTGCAGCCTCAGACATGCAAAATTCTATCCTTTCCATAAAGCAATAATTCAAGTGCAGCCTTGTCTGGTGAAATGGAGGGAATCCAAGAAGGCTGCCTAGGCAAAGAGGGTTGAGCTCTACTGTCACACATGCTTGAGCAGGGCAAGGCCTCACGCTGGCAGCTGATGAGATGGCAACTGGAATGACAGCTCTTTTCTCAGAGAAGGACACCTCATTCACTCAAAAAAGAACAAGGGTACAAAAAGCAGCCATTCCAGCTTATTACAAATTATTATTGTTACACTTCACTTCCCATTCACCCCTCCTACTTGCTGGTGGTAATTTCCTAAGCCAATCACACCCAGAAGGAAAATTGAATGTAGATAAACTATTTCTCCATGAAAAAAAAATATCCTTGGGATACTTGTAAAGAAAATAAACTATGACATCTATGTATGCTGCTGTAAACATGACTAGGTAGTTCACAGCTTGATTATATTAGTAATAAATTATCCAATAGTAAATATTAGTAGTAAGAATTTCTATACAGCAACCTAGTGTTTATAGCTTCTTCTCAATCTCAGGAGCACATTTCTCTTAGTTTTACATTCCTGTTAAACAGTGTCTTTATTCATATTAATTTCCTGCTTCATCTGAAGTATTTACAGACTTGAATACTCCTTATGTCAGTTATGCTGACCTTGTTCCTTGTTTGCCACAAAATACTCAGATTGAGATCATATTCACATCTCTCAGAGATTTTTTTTTTTTTTAAACATGGGAGCCATTCATCTTCTGAACTGCTTCTGAAACTGGCATCCACACCGTTCTTCAAGTTCAGATTCCTAAATGCCATTAACATTCAGGTAGGCCAAACATGGAATGAGAATAGTCATGCCAATAGTCTGTATGGGATACTTTTGTTTTTTCAAATGCAGGATTACTTTATCTTCCTTCACAACTCCATGTTTATGTAATGTAGCTTTGACTATGTCAGCGGCAGCAGCAGCAATTGTACAGGGAGGAGCAGAGAGCATAATGTAGAGATGTTGGACAAGGATTGGGAAGACCAGGTTTCAGCTTGTCTTTCACTATGGAAACTCATTGGGTAACTAGTTATACTTTCTCAGCCCAACCTACCTCCCAGGTTGTTGTTGTTGCAGAGATAAAATGAAGGGAGATTCCCATAGAAATGGGATATATATCTAACAAAATTATTTGACTCTGCTGGTCACAGTACTTCTGAATTTGAATCTGAAATTTGTACTTTAATGTTCACTTTGGAGTCCTTGGTGCTTTCTGAACTTGGTTGTTTGACTGCAGACATTTTATTACCCGACTAGGTAAAATCATCAGGGCACTTTTCTGCAATGTTTCACTATTCAGGTCCTCTTTGTAGCATTTTGGTGGAGCGATTTGGCTGCAGGATAACAGTCATGCTAGGAGGCCTCCTCAGCGGAGTGGGCATGGTTGCCAGTGCTTTCTCCAAGTCTCTTAGCGAGCTTTACATAACAGCTGGATTCATCACTGGTGAGTACAGTAAATGCACAATGGGATGGCTTCTACAATTTCCTGCTTGGTTCGTTTTCAGAGTTTGTACGCCTACATAACATGAATCCAAGTTGCAAATGGTGATAGATACTATACATATGTATTGTGATGCTGATTCAGATTCTATCTCAGTAGCCTCAGTAACGTTAAAAAAGCTCATCTCAGTTATCTGCAATGCAGTGATACTAATACTAGCTTGTATTATCCATGGTTGCTATTTCAAATTTCATCAGGGGAATAGAGTTTTTAATAGGATGTGGGGTAAGAGTCTTTCAGTAAGTTGGCTAGATATGTTCTTTTTGGAATTATTATTAAGTAATGTAGATTAAGAATACCTGTTGATATCCTACTTTTGTTCTAAGTGTACCCTGAAATAATTCATTTAATATACTTTCAGCACATGTGCTAGGTGAATTCTGACAATATAAACATGCACACACAGACATGAATAAAACAAATGTCATCACTGCAGATTCATATTATTTCGTTTTTCTTTATTTAAAGGCCTAGGATCATCTTTTAGCTTCCAAGCAGGAGTCACAGTACTTGGTTACTATTTTATACAACGGCGAGCACTAGCCAATGCCCTGGCCTCCACAGGTGTCTCCCTTGGCCTTACACTGTGGCCGCTGATTTCCCAGTATCTGCTTGATGAGATGGGCTGGAGAAACACATTTCTAATCTTTGGGGGAGTGCTGTTGAACTGCTGTGTGTGTGGGGCTGTGATGAGGCCAGTCCCAGTCAAGCTGCCTGCCCTTTCCTTGAAATCTTGTTCTGAACAGTCAACTGAAGGAGTACACCTGCCTAATGGTAACACTTTGCATCATAAAGAACAATGTCAGTCAAGATATACTGCATGTTTCCAGACCCTGAAGAAGTACCTAGCTTTTGATATCTTCTGCAAGAACAAAGGCTACCAAATCTATACCCTCGGAGTTACCTGGATGGTGATGGGTTTTGTGCTGCCCCTCGTTTACTTGGTGCCCTATGCCATCTTGAATGGAGTGGAGGAGCAGAAAGCAGCTCTCCTCATTTCCATTATCGGGTTCATCAATATATTTATGCGCCCAATGGCAGGCCTTCTCTCAGGCCTTAGTGTCTTCACTGGCAGGAGGATCTACCTCTTTAGCTCAGCTGTGATGCTCAATGGCCTCAGTAACCTCATCTGTGCTGCTTCAGCTGAGTACAGTATTCTTGTCCTCTACTGCCTGGTCTATAGTGTCTCCATGAGTGTCATCGGTGCACTTCTCTTCCAAGTGTTAATGGAAGTGGTGGAAATGGACAGATTCTCCAGTGCCCTGGGTCTTTTCACCATCTTGGAAAGTATCACCATTCTTATTGGACCTCCTCTTGCAGGTAAGAGGTGTAAGGATTTGGGCCCAGAGGTATTGTTGATATAGATATTGCATGTAATCAGAATTCATAGTATCATAGCATTTAAGAGATAATTTATACCATCAAATCCCAATCAGATGGCTGTCTAGCCTCCGCTTGGAACACATCCAGTGAAAGGGAGCCCACCATGTCTCTTGGTTCCATGCTCCTTTTAGCATTTGTGATACAATTCTCTGCAGAATGATTACTACAGCTCTAAAATGGCAAGTATTAAGGTTTTAGAGATTTAAGACTACAGCAGTCAGCATAAAAAACAAGGGATTATGTAGGAGTAGCAACCCAGCAATTTGCAAATAACTTTCCTTGATAGACAATCTAGCCTTTAATTTATCTTCTTTTGCTTTTAGCTGTGATACCTATCTTCTTATTCTCCCTAATCCTTGCCATAGCCAAATTCTACTCCAGTAAATCTCATTATCCATCTTTCAGATCTAAATCCCACAGTAATCCAGGTTTGGCAGACAGATGTGAGAAAAATAAGCCTCAAACTGGCATGGAAATACAGGCAGGAAAAAGAGTTAAATCCCCTCTTTGCTACTTCTCT